CTCTCCATCTGCCGTTTTCACAGGTATGATGCAAGGTTCCAGGGTAGGCGATCCAATTCTCTTCCAGGTTTGGCGTGATATCAAAGTTATATCAGCGCTTTTGTCTAACTGGAAGCGCAATGAACATCCATTGATAACGACGTCGAGATAGGTCCTTGTATTCTCGGCCTCAAACGCGCGCGACAACGTTTTTGCACTGCGCCATAGTGCTGGGTCCCTGTTCTGCGCCGCTTCTTCTGACCAGCGGAGGCGGGGAGTGGACATTTACTTCTGAAATGTAGACCTCCACAGTTGAAACATTTTACCTTTCTCCTCCACACTGCATGGATGTCGTGTGTTCCTTCCATGTCCGTGTTGTCTCATTTTAACGCGGTGAAATTCTCACGTTCGTTAACCGGATCTTCAATTGTCAGCGGAGTGTCATCCGCATGTGAGTCCAAACGGCGAATCATCCTAAAGCGCACTTCTCGCAGTGTAGGATCCTAAAGACCCGCTACAAATTGTAACGTCTTCATTGCAGTGTAGTCGAGTTCCTTAGGTCGCGCGTCCTCGCCCACTCGCTTGATTGTGTTGGCGTACTCCCGAAACGGCATGTACGTTGGTGTCAGCGGCGGACAAGTGACCCTAAGGCACTCGTATCTTCTCCTTATCAAAGTCTTCTTAGGAGCAAACAGCTTCTGGAGATTCGCGACCGTTGTGTTGAATTCCAATTTGTGTGGTTGCATAGATAGGACCTTATCTGCACACTTCCGATATGCTTCCTCATCCAGCTTCATGAGGATCAGATCGCGCTTCTTATTGCCCGGCAACAAAGCGTCGCGTATAACCGGTCTGTACCTGTTGAAGCAATAGGTGAATGTGTTACCTGTCTCTTTGTCTGAGAAAATTTCTGCACGTCCCTGCTCAGCTGATCGTATTGATCTTTGCTGGCGTCCTGGACGGTACCGCCTTGATTGCGGCTATGAGTGGCGAACATTGACTTCATTTCGTCGTGCTGCATCTTCATTTCTTCTTGTTGAAGACGCATCTGCTCGACCATGACAGTCGGGATCTTCTCCAGTTGAGAATCATGACCACACCGTTCTTCTGCAACTTTCGGCATGACTGACTTCTCTGGACTGCTGGCGACGGCGTCTTTCTTCTTTCTTGAAGGCTTCGTCGTCGTCCTTAATCGTTGTAGAAGTCTTCTTCAGCCCCTGGTCGATCGGGACTTCTTCTTCGTCCTTGATCGCTGAATTCTTTTTCTTCTTTCTTGATCCTGATTGCCAGTTGTTGTGAAACGCCTTGATGGTGAACTGTTATGTACAAAAAGGCTGAGAGGCCACCTATACAAATGCCGTATACACCACTGGAAGTAGTTAACTTATAGAATAACATTGGATAAACAACGTAAGACGTGGCATATATCCCGCTATCTTGAGTATCACATATAACATTGGGAAAATACAGGGAAAGAAAAAGTTACAACATAACTAAATACAGTCCCTACAACAGATACGGTCCAGTAAGCGTTAAAATAATGATCCATAAAAAAAATGTTGGTCAAAATGTTAAACTCTTTTTTTTCACATTCAACTTCTTTAGCTTTCTAAATTTTTCAAAAAATTTCGGATTTCAGAACATACCCATGATTAGTTTGTCAGGCTTCGTAAGAAAACACTTATGCAATTTTGTTTTTTATGCTAACGGATGCTGTTCATCTTATTTCGGTTAAAAAGTTTTCCCTTAAGTCTTTCGTGTTTCAAGTTACCCTGCTAAATATGGATATACATAGAGCTTCTAAATCTTCTTGCAGTGAAAGTCAGTGCTTGGGAGAAATGACACATGATGCAAGCTGCACAGAATTTTACTGCCGCTTCAGCACGAATAAAAAGCAGTTCCAGTTTCGATGATTGGCTTATACTGTTCGTAAAAATTTAAAGCGGAGTATGAGCAACATGTCTTAATGCTGAACGACTCGATTTGTCGAGGAATTCTCTCAGTAGAAGTGTCTACCTCGTTAAAAACGCCCATTAACTTCTGCTCAGATTGATCAGACAGAACAAAACTATACTTGGAATATAATGGCTAATAACATATACCATATACGACATCCACACATCATCCAATCAGTCTACTGTAAGAGCTTTTCCTAGACAAAATCAAAACGCACAGCTTTGCAGGCAACTACGGTTCAAACACATGCTCACCTCCAGAGGCATTGCTTTCACTTCTTCAAAATTCTTTGGATTCTTCATGCCGAGTTATAATGTTCAAAGTGCTCCTGATCTCTATTGAGTAGGAGTCGATTTTGAGATTATATGTAACTTTATATCCATTTGTATTAGCAAAAGATAATTTAAATGAAAAGCAAAGTTGGTACGGAAACATAAAATCATTGTCATTTCTGAACTTTCTGAACGAAGAGGACAAAAAAATGTAAGCATGCCGCGTGCTCCGAAGTTTAGAGATGTAGTCTAAAATATTCCAAAAAGGAGAGAAAGACGTCATAAGTACATTCTAGACGTTCGCTCTAAACAGCTTTCTGCTTTACCTTTTTGAACTTACTGAATTTTTCTGTGGTTATCAACTGCACTAGAAGTGCTATGAAGTCAGATAGCATATAGAAATTACCATAATCAAGTTGATCGTAGAAGAATTCGTTAACAATAAAACGAGATGAGCAGTTCTTCGAGTACGTTTAGTTACGGTCAGCGTAACATTGCGTTTTATTGCTACACGTCCACCCTTATTTTTGCAACTATGGACAATAGACTGGATCAGAGGGTAATTTTCGTTCACTCCACTAGGGTCAATTCCAAATCCAAAGTTGTATGAAAGCCATATTTCATTGTCAACTTGTCTCGTCTAAATATAACAAACATCTTCAAACCTTAAAAAAAAAAACACACACACACACACACACACACACACACACACACACACACACACACACACACACACACACACAC